TTTCGCAGCCATTTTGGCTGGCTCTCCTCCGCCGGCTTCAACAGCTTCTCCCCGGGTCAATCTGGGACTTGCGGCGTCCCTGAGATCCGCGGGACGTGCCCTTTGCGATCGCCATCTCTACGGGACGGCTTAGGTCCATCGGGACCGTCCGGGGGAGGAGATATCGGCTGCCATCCTGGGAGCCCAGGATCGCCCGCCGTATCGCCGTGACGCCAGCTCCGCCCTCCGGACCCCTCGTGGCTCTTGTACTTAGTAACACAGTCTTCAAGCCAAATATTTTAACATGAAGTAGATGACACTTTCAGGAAATAGCTCAATTTCTTACCTCTCCAAAAGACTTCAAAGGCTTCCTCTGTAGATTTGACTTCTACCTCGGTGCAACCTGCAACGTACATGTTGTGATTTTGATCCTCACGGAGAATTTTGGATTGAGGAAACCTGCAGGAGGAACGTCCCAACAAAATCAGTCACCAATATTTTATTGTTACTAAACACAATATCAAATTAGGTAGATGTGTTCTAATTTCAGCCGAGACTAATTGCCAGCTACGATTAGCTTATCCAGGCAAGCAAAGAGGACAGAGGGAAACACAGATCACCCAGACTGTACACGGGGCTACAAGCATATTCTCTTGTCCATGCAAACTACCCGCAACGAAGGGCAACCGACATGCTACCAGCTTCATCAGGTGGAAAACAGCCATCTTAATTGCTATAAAGGTGGGGGAGGGGGATGTCCACATACGTGAGGTCAGCATTCCGCAGTGGAGTGCCACAGTTGTTCCACCTACCAAAGAAATTAATTTTCCCACAGTTGGTGACTTTCCTTCTTACTAAATATTCAGCTGAAGAGCATTTTCCTGAGAATCACTTTTATGCGACAGCTACTAAGAAAAACATTCCTGTGCCTTGTTAAAGAATTGTTCAAATTTTGGCAGCAAGTAATAGCTATGTGAGGCTGAGCAAAACAGTATCAACAGGAGACAATTCCAGCTTTAAAACCAAGTCATATTCAGTTATGTCTTTGCATAAAGCAAATTTCCAAGACATTTTTTTGAAAGCTATGAACATAGGAAAGCTATGTCTGTCTGAACTTAGAGCTCAAAACGATATGAAACTGTTACTGAATTATTTTATTTATAATGTCTTCTTAGGCCTAGAACCAGACGGAACCTGTTCCCTGCCCCCAAGCCATCAACCACTGGACCCATAATCTACTACGTACTTTATCTTTCCTTGAATCTAAATCACCAGTTCAATTTTACTTGTGTTGACTGTAACTGGAATTGTTAGCATAGTTTCTGACTGAAGAAAAATCACTCACTTTGGTTTGGTGGGATCAAAAGGGGATTCATCCAAAAGGTCATAGATGTAGTTATTATAGATCTCAATGTAAGACACAAACACACTGTAGACACTGTCTTCATCAACATCTTCCAGCTTACAGTTATCTTGCACATTGATCATGTCAGCAATTTCCGGGTCTATTTGCCGCCTGCTAATAGAGGAGACCAAAGGTGGGAGTCATCTGCACTTACTCCTTTGACGAAGCATTCATAACGTTCCTGAGCCAAAATTCCCAAGCCACTCAGACCCACTTACTTGCCCACTGGTGTCTTGGGGACCGGAAGTGCTTCTCTTTTCTGGCGTTCAAGTAAAGCATCCACTTCACATTGCACCTCAACCCCATTCTTATCATCGAGTCTGAAAACCTGAGGGTTAAAGGTCACAGAAAAATAAGGGGGATCTTGCCAAGAGGCACCCAGGAAGTGTTATTTGACCGGTTGTGCAGCAGTGATGAAAGCAGGTATCAGTCCCCAATCCTGACTAGAATTGCCTGAGTTCAGCTGAAAAAGGAGGATGATTTTAGCCCAAGACTGGCAGGTCTGCCTTATTCACAACCACTATTTTAACAAGTTCAAAATGCATCAAGTACAATCAGATATTATCTTCAGAACAACCTATTTTAACTGGACAAAAAGGAGGGTACTTCATCTCCATTTGCTTTTTGCAAATTGTGGTAAATAGATTTCCACCTCCCCCTTTCCAGTTTCCCTCCTCTTTTAAAAGGCTCCTCCTTCCTTTCATCATTGCATTAAAATACAATTTGGCTGGCTTTTTAGTCCATCGTATTTATTTGGGTTAACCTGCCAATTCCCAAGGCTCGGAGGCCAAACTCACATAGCGCTTGGCCTGAAAAGGCCCTATGCTGTTGAAGATCATGTCCAAGCAGCGAGGAAGCAGACCTCCCTCACCAGGGGATCCTGTCATAGTGTGCGTTTTTCCACTCCCCGTGACTCCATATGTAAAAAGGAGGCCTAGAATTCAAAAGCACAGAGCCACGATGAACTTCGTTATGCATGAGAATACTTGATCACACAATTTTTTGCCACCTAATAAGAAACTATTAAATATAGCACAAGTTATTTACCAAGATGTCCAAATCATCAATTGTCAGTGGACTTTGCAATGCCGTTAACAAATACAATCAGTATGCACAAAGGAACAGATATGATATGTATCTGCTGGTCTAAAATCTAACACACTCAACCTATCCTGTGCAAAGACATTCAAGTAAGGGGATGCTGAAAAATTATTTTCTAATGTTTGTTTTGCAGAAATAGGTATGACAGAGAACTCGCAGTTTTGAAGGTAGTTTTCTAAAATTGTACCAAGTGGATTTTCTGCTCTGCATCAGTACCAGAGACAGTTTATAAATGGCTATTTTCAATCCCTGAGCGATATGCTTTAACATTTCATTCTTAAGGAACAGAGCAAAGAAAATCCATGCAGTCTTCTTGGCAATGATTCAGAGGTATTTTTTCCTGCTGCCCTCTTCCAGGGTGTTTCAGTCTAACTTACAGGTGAGATTTCTTACGACTGAGGTTCAATCCTGTTTCTATGTTGTAAAACCTTTCATTCAAAACATTTTAAATCTGAAATGGTAATTCTGCGCTCAAAACAACACATGCGTTCTGAGCGTTTTATTCTTCCTGTTCTGATTAGACTATTTTATCCTTTCTTGGTCATTTTTCCAACCAAGTAAGTACCACAGCAGGAAATACGTTGCACCTGTTTTTTTTAATTAATGTTATTACACCTAAGTAGCAAGGGAAAGGGATATATACAAGAGTATTAACAATCTAATGTAACTAAAAAATTTTTTAAAGTTTGGAATATTTAACAGAACGATTCCAAATTTTGATTAAATTACTCGTCTTCTTCCCTGTCCCTAAGTTAAATGTTGAGAATCACACAACAATCCACTGTTGCAAATCAGATTTTTCCTACTTGTATTGCATGAAAGTGCTTGAGTTAAATAAATTGCCATGAAACATTCTGAGGTGTTTTCATTCAGAAAATCCAACTCCAAACCCCAATTTAAAAAATGGCTTCCTCGGAACTGACTTGATTCAAAGTAATAATATTGTGACAGGCCCAGTTTACTCCCCAAATTATTTACCTGCTATTTTAAAAGTACATTATACCATAAACAATACATTGCATCGATAGAAGGATTAGAATTAGAATTAGGACAACCTAATACAGTTGTGTGAAAAAGAAAGTACACCCTCTTTGAGTTTTATGTATCAGGACATAATAAAAGTCATCTGGTCCTTAGCAGTTCTGAAAAGTAGGTAAATACAACCTCAGATGAACAACAACACATGACATGTTACACCAGGTCATCACTTATTGTACAAAAAGAAAGCCAAAATGGAGAAGCCATGCATGAAAAACTAAGTACACCTTATGATTCAATAGCTTGTAGAACCACCTTTAGCAGCAAGAATTTGAAATCATCGTTTTCTGAATGACTTTAACAGTCTCTCACATCGTTGTGGAGGAATTCTGGCCCGCTCTTCTTTACAACATTGCTTCAGTTCCTTGAGGTTCGCGGGCATTTGTTTATGCACAGCTCTCTAAAAGAGACGCTGTCTTTTAGCGTGGGTGATAGTGCAGATCATTGTGTTTTGTGCTATCCAAGGAAAATAGTAATTCCAGCTATGGCAACCAACAGCCAGGTTTCGCTGGACCTGGCAATGGTTGCGTGGTAGTCTGCTTGCTTCTCAATCAACTTCCAGGAGAGATGAGGTGATGCCCATCTCTCACATCTGGATGCTACTCAATAGGGCAACTCATCTTCCTCAAGGTGAATCTTACCCTGCTAAACTTTCGTGACCAGCCACCCAGTTTACTTGGACTACATTCCAAACCTGAATGAGTCATATCGGGATGAGCCACTGGTTTGTGTCTCTCAAGTGACAGACAACAGATGGAGCCCTGTTCTATGGCTTATCTGAGAGATGCATACCAGGGCCCTTAGTCATCACATCACCGTCCACGAATCCTCCACCCATGGCCCAACACCGCTTGGCCAGTGATGCCGCTGCTGGATCCAGTCACCAATCTAACTGTGTATCAGCACAGAAATTCTCCAGACAACAGCAGAGCAGACCACAGTCAAATGAAAGACAACTCCATACATCCCACTGTCCGTTTCTCAAAGTTCTTTGCTTAAGAGTTTACACAGGCTGCTTGGATGCATGCTCCACTTTTACAGGTGGATAACAAAAATATGTCTAACCACTATTGTGTTTCACGAACAAGTGAACACCAGCAAATGCTGTCCCTAGGCACCATCTCTTCGCCCCATCTCCAAGGTCTTTCCCACATACCATTACACTTACCAACCACAACTGAGACCAGCAACTCCATCGCTAAGCAGCACAATCGTTAAGCACAACGTCAGTGATCACACGGACTTATAATGTCAGTTCTGGCTGTGGTCATTAAGTGAATCATTGGGGGGTTGTTAAGCACATCATGTGACTGCAACTTGCAACTTCCTGCTGGCTTCCCCATTGACTTTGTTTGTCAGAAGCCAGCTGTGAAGGTCACAAGTGGCAATCACGTGACTGCGGGATGCTGAAACAATAAATGCATACCAGTTGCCAAGCACTTAAATTGCTATCACATGACCGCAGGGATGCTGCAACAGCCACAACTTCAAAGACGGGTCGCAAATCTTGTTTTTCAGTGCTATCGTAATTTTGAGTGGTAGCTGAACAAGTGGTTCAGTGGTAAGCAAGGATTATCAGTGGTTCAGTGATAAACAAGGACTATCTGTATCTTGTTAAGCAGCAGCATTTTTGTACATAAGAGCAAGAACAAAGTCACTTTTTCCTAAATTCATGTCTGGTAAGCGGGCTGCAAAAAATGTATGACATAATTATTGCTTGAACTTGCTATGTAAGTGAGGTGGCAATCCAAATTGTTTGTTAATATATTTAAATTTAAAACCCTAATAGAAAACAATGGAAGCTGCTGTTTCCTATTATGAGTTTTAATTTAGCTATATTAACAAACGTAATTCTTTGTCGGAAAAAAGTCCACACTGCTAGTAGTCTAGAGAGATCTTTGGTCTTAATAACGTAATCACAGCATACCATTTTTTCCATGGATAAGATCTTCCACTAGAGGTTTAGCAACCACATCAAACACCCGTCTCTGAGAAATGCTGGTGCCAAACACTTCTTTAAATGAATACTGAACCTGGAAAGAAGGTTAGCAATCTGTTAGGAAGCATATAACAAGCATTTTTATTCATTTGCTGTTTCTCCTAGTCCTCTCCTAGACTTTAATACTGCATCAAAGTTCTGAATGTACAACTCTGCTTAATGGTTAATCTAATCTACCTAATGCTTTAGCAATGATACCTGTGGTCTTTTTCTTGGGAAAAAGTAACTAGTACAGAAAAAATCTAAAAGCTTTTGTCCCTCTGTAATAATATTGGATGCTATATAGGAGATGAAACAGTATTGGCAAAAGCAAGCTTTTCTTCATGCATTATGTATTTCCAACAACAGAATTTACTAAATAGAACCTTAGTACGATCACAAGCTTACTAATTAAAAAGTAATTAATTCAAAAAGGAGCTGCAATCCTATACAGGCAGATTTTGATAAGTCAAGTTGCTTTAAATGACACAATCCTAATAAGAGTATAGACTGCAGCCCATAGTTAACCATAGCACATTTTCAAAAGAACAACCTCTTTATATTCCCCATTACGGGCAATGCGGTATCCATCAGGTGGGTGAACCTGCACTGTTGTGCTGCTGATCACTTCTATGCAACACTCTTGGTCTGGCACACTGACTGGGCGCACTCGGCAATACACCTGAGCAGAGAAAAAAGGCCACTATTTAAACACACCAGCTTAACATATTGGTGAATATTAATAGGCAGACAGTAAGCTTTGAAATCACTTGGTACAACATCTGCTGTTTCCGAGGTTTAAAGAAACCTTAGACAACAAAGCTGGGAAAGGAACCACTTCCACAGAATCAAGTTAATAGTATTAAATTCTTTCTAAATGAAGTTTTCCAAAAAAAAAAAAAAAGGATGTGTATGTCAGTCTTTATTGGCTTTGCAGATTTTGCCTTTTCTTGATATCAGAAAAATATAATAATTCATACACAAAGGCATTCATAACATAAGAACTGGGTCTTATTCATATTATATATTAAAAATATGCAAGAACACATTAAAGAACTAATTCTGCTATAACTCAGCCACTTACCCCAACAGGATCCTTCAAACTATTGTTAGATGCCTTTTTTAATGCATGTTTCCTAGGAGTTTTAGTTCTTCTGGAAGAGAATAGGTGTCAGACAAGTTACACATAAAATCAAAGATGCACACTACACAAGCAATCAACTGAAACGCTCTATGCATAAGCAATGTAGAGGAAAGTCAAAACAGCCACAGAGGCCTTTAAGAGCAGCTAATGCAAATGGCAGTACAATATTAATACCAATAAACAGTGTTGCAGAATGGTTGGTGGACATGGAACACCTCTGTTTCTTGGAATGCATTCTAATATCCATAACCAATTGCATCCAAGATCCTCTTCTTGGGAGTACTCACTGCCATCACTCCTGCCTTCTCAGATTATTCTCCCAAGACCAAAAATATGCTCAGTTCTTCCACATTTCTGGATTAACAGAATGTTAATGTAACAGAAAACCCAAACCGACAGAATAAATCCTCAGGCAGTAAAATAACATGAATGCTAAGAAGATGGATTTCTTTTCCACCAGAATTTCGGCATTGTGTAAGAAAAGAGATTTAGAACCCACCATTCTCCTACTGTCCCAGGCAGGCCAAGCCTCCTTAATTGTGGGGATCCTGTCAGTGAGTCGCTGCTGTGCCCTTCCTCCCCAGCATACCATAAAAGCAGGGCCCCCGCCTAACAAAAAGTTTTTTTTTTAAATCTACAGCTAGAATCCCTACATATGATTATCAGAACGGTGGGTGAGACATCTGAAACTTATGCAGCGGCGACTCATTTTTTTTAAAGAGGGAGCTAAGTTTTTTAAATTCACAACATCTTCCCCATGGAAAATGCCCAGTATAGTTTTGCAGTTTGTTTACAGGCATCCTATCTTATCCTGATTCTATTTCTAAGTTCTTTATCATTTCCTCCATTAGGGGTTGGAAATATGTCACTCATAAGCACTGTAACATCCGTATAATCTGGTTAGGCCCATCTCACAAATCAAATGCGACAACAGCCAAAACGCAAGATCGGTTTTACAAGTTTTTTGCCCCTATTCTAACACTGCAAAATTGTACGTTCGTGCTCATTATCTGAAAAAGCTGGCGGCTCCAGTCCTAGACCTGTGGCCGAAAGTCAACTCCTGTGGCCGTTCCCATTGCTCCCATCTACAGGAGCGCATGGAGCACCAAAGGCCCCAGTGGCGGAAGACAATGGGAATTTCCACATCTAGAAAGCCTCACACACTGACAGGACGAATGCACCAAGCGGGCAGCGATCGACAGAGCGCCAGCCGCTGTCCTTTGCCCAGGCAGCGCGCTTCCCAGCAGAGGCAGGCGGTCCTCTCCCAAAAGCGAGTCCTGGGTCTGCGGTAAAATCTGCCCGTCGGGAAGAAACTCAGAATTCCAGGCAGGGAGATCGGCCCCTCTCCTGGCACCCACTTTATGGGCGCAGGAGAGGAAAACT